ACACACACACACACACACACACACACACACACACACACACACACACACACACACACAAAGTCCTGTGGAAGCCTTCTGCAGCAGACTTAAGTTCAGTGATGTTAACAAAAATTGCGCATGCTGCACATCACGCCCTCATGCACAAACATCAGATTAATAACAGTCAAGTAGAAAAGCTGAACTGCATTCATGGAGGTCTGCGTAATGTCACACCGAGAGCTTCTGAAGCCATGCCTGTCACCAAACAGGAAATTACAACTTCATGCACAAATTAAACCCATCTGCTCTGACTGGGAGGACTTCTATGAGTTAGGCTTAATAAGATGTTGATTTATTGTTCGTTTATAAAATAAGGTTGTTTTAGGTTTCATTTGCAAAAGTTTTAGTTTCATAAATATGAATCTTGATACAAACTGTCTTGTGTCAGGGTTTTTCTCAGACAAAAAAAAATTGAATTAAAAAAATCACTCTAACCAATAGGTCCATCATACATAGGTTGTTTGCAGGGTTCCCACAGATTCTTTAAAAAGTCTTAAAAGGCATTAAATTCATCAATCCAATAATACGGTTTTAATTAGCCTTAAAATGTATTAAATCAAGAAAAAACACATTGTATGTACAATGATTGTAATTCATGTCAAGTATTAAAATAATTGGTAATATGTTTATTTTTTTTAAAAATTTACCAAATGCTTCTCGCAGCTATTTGTCTATAAACATTTGTTTAAAATCGCCACTAACTGGGTTTTCTTTTTATTTGTGTTTATTGTGAAGATGGTCTTAAATTTCATTTTGAGTGGCATTAAAAAAGTCTTAAATATAATTTGCCTTAAGCCGCCGGGACCCTGTGTTTGGCTTGTGGTCACATTAGTCCATCTTTGTTAAAGAAAGACAGTTGTGTCTGTCTGTTATTATTGCAAAGAATGACTCAGCAACAACAGTCAGCTTTCAAACAGCTGACAAGGTAAAACTTCAATCATGTTTCAACTTTTCTCTGACACCTTCCTCCCACCTGAACAGATGATGTGTCCTCCCATATGCTCTAAAACCAACGTCTAAGAAACTAATACAACTTTAACCTCAGTCCAAACTCCACAGGTCCAACTGAAAAAAAAAAAGATAAATAAATAAACACACACACACACACACACACACACACACACACACACAACANACACACACACACACACACACACACACACACACACACAACATGAGCTTACAGGCATGATGGAGTATTCTCGTACATTTTTCTTGCAACAAAATGAGCTATTTTTGCTATTTAATAAAAAAATATATTTTAGTCTGGCCTTTATACTTTGTCGTTCACAGGAGCCACATTCAGTAGAATAATAACTCACACTTAATAAGGAAGGTCTGAAAACTGAGGTTTTTTAAGAGTTCACAAGATGATGGGCGTATGTTGGCACCCAGTTTTCAACAGTTTTTTTGCTTGTTTAGAACCAGAGGAAGATAAAGCTAATAACACACCTGAGGTTATCTTACACCTCATCAAAGAAAACTACAACAAATGCTTCAGTCTGTTGGCCATCCACTGCTTTGACCATTTTCTTCAGCCTTTGTGGTTTCATTGGTCTTATATCTTTTCAACACTTCTTGATGCTGGCAGTGTGAAAATTCCTGTTTATGTTCAGAAACATCACAAGTAACATGTTAAACAGCTCTCACAGATGTAAAGCACCAGTGACTGTAACCGTCATGACTCATAAAACAATTCATTCATTCTTGGATTTGACTTTTTCTTTTTTGTGTGTGTGTGTGTGTGTTTGTGTACTATTAATAATTTAGTTGAAGTTAGACTGTTGACTGTGTGATCAGGCTGAAGTGGAAGTGAAATTAGGGCTCCATGAATCATTGAAGTAATTAAATTAAGTAAAATCCCAGTTCTGTCCCTAAAGCTGTTCTGTTTTAAAGTCYGCCTTTAAAATTAGGCCAAAATAAGCATTAGCAGCAAAGCAGCCGAACATGCAGTTTAGAGGTGTATCTTTTCAACTACTCTGCTTTCATCACATGTAAATACATCATACTGATGTCACAATCTGCAGATGATTCATTTCTTCTCATACAACTAGATTMTTTTTGTGTTGGGTGAAGTAAAAAAATGCATTTTTGAAGATGTTCTGTGTTTAGTGCTGCTTTGGAGGTTGTTTCATCCCAGAGTTTTTATTTTAATTAGACTATAATTAAAACACCAATGGAGCCCAAATTCCAAACTTGGTCCAAGCCAACCTGTCAATATGTATAAAAAATGCAATATAACAAATTATTTTTGTAGAAATACAAATTAGGACAGCAC